AGTTCCACTGATTTGTTAATGAGAGAAGGTAATTAATTAACTTTAACTTTCTCTTAATTTCAAAACCCAATGGATCAACACAACCACCAATCCACCACCTCCGGCGCCGTCGCAACCGCAAAGCCACTCCACTGCATCGTCAAGCTCGGTGAGCTTTTCTGTATGCTTTTATGTTTTTCATCGATTTTAGCTTGTTTAAATTATCAATTAATCATGTTAATCGGACCCCTTCAATTCAATCTGTTTACCCTAACGCATGACATTTGTTTCTCAAATTTGATGTTTTGTTAGCATTTTTAAGGATTGAGTTCAATTTTAGGTACTGATTAAGTTGAGTTTAGTTGGGTAATGATGATGAGTCTCCAAATTCACTTGTTGGAAAGGTTTCTGGAAGTTGTTGTATACTATTGTGATGACTGTTATTCAGATTAAACTTTTTGTTCAATGTTACTTTTGATTTTATCTCGGAAATAACGGCGAGGAAAATATTTTTCTTGCTTCAAATGATGCTTGTTGAATTAATTTTTGGCGATTTCCGAGACCAAATATCACATTTTCCTTTCGGAAACAAAATCATCCGAGAACTGTTTCGTTAATCATCGTTTTGATGTACTTTATTCGATATATTATGCATTTAGTTGTCTACTTGTGGAAGTCGAATGAGATAGATGCTTTCCGTGAACGTGTAATTTTAGCAGGTGCTCGTTCCTTTTTTTTTTTTCTCGTATGCAGGGGGTGCTGCAATTACCTATAAAAATGAGTTGGAGACGATAAACGGTGACAACCTTAATATAGTTTCGTCACAGCTAAGGCAAGCGATGATTTTAGGGCCTTGTCATGGGATGGATTGGAGCAGAAGGCCTGGATCCTCGGAAATCCCAACTGTTGCCGATGATTTTGATGAACAGTTACAATTGAAATCTAAAAAGTTTGTTGTTGTTCATGGTGCAGGTTGACATCTTAGCTCGATTTGATTATGATTTACTTTATATTATTTCCAATAGTTTAAGGTGTCGTTTGGTTGATAAGATTAAAGTGGACCTTATTGAATATTTGATTAGTCCAATAACTTTTCGGTCCGGCACGCGATTGTGGAAAAAATGGCTCCAATCTTTGCTAATTGAGAGATTATTAGTTGAACCTTCCATGGTCCAACAAAATAATTGTTTTTCATAAGACTATTTACTCTTATCTTGGCTAATCTTATCTTAGGAGCCAAACGGGGCCTAAGTGGTTAAAGAATGTATTATCTTGACTGAAAGGAACGCATTGCCAAAATCATACAGAACTTTACACCGCTATAGATACACGATGAGTTTGTGTGAGATTAGATACAGGGGATTCTAACACATGAGTATGTTAAATTGGTATGGAACTGGTTGCGCAAATAGCATTTTCACCTTTTTCTTTTTTTTTTCTTCATTTTGTCATATTTCCGTTGCACTAAATGAATTAAATCGGGAACCAGATAGAATGTGTCCAATTTTTCTGTGTTTTTATGCTGCCTCAGAGTTAATGCCCTGTGGCAGCACACTCATTTTCTTGCTAATGTTTGAAGTATTTTCCGAGTTTGCATGGTAGTACAGAATATACATTTATAATTCTCGGCAATATACGTAGACCTATGATTGTTATCATTGTAAAACATCTGTTACAATAGACCAGTAACTCATGATTATTGTCTTCAGGTTCTTTTGGCCACTTTCAAGCAAGCAAGTCAGGCGTTCACAAGGGTGGATTGAACAAATCCCTTGTCAAGTCTGGTTTTGTAGCTACAAGAATATCTGTAAGACATTAAATAACCCTCCGATTCTGCTATATTCTGTCTTGTTATCTTTTGGCATTATTTTCGGGTAATTTTTTGAGATAAATAACAAAATCATGATTATTTTTCCCACTATTTTTCTGTAGAGATCTACCTAGTAAGAATTTGGTCAACTTGATCAAGTTCTTAGGTTGATGTACAATAAATTATTGCTTAGTCCTAGCTGCAGCTTTACATGTTGCTACGTCGATTTAAAAAACATAAGTATATTTCGCTCACAGTTCTCCTCCATACAAAAAGTAAATTATCTGTTAATTCCCCCTATTATTGGTTGTAATGACTGATTACTGGTATTAAATTTGTCGGAACTCTTTATTTTCTTTGATTGCTTCAGGTCACGTCCCTCAATCTTGAAATTGTCAGAGCGCTTGCGAAAGGTATTAACTTTCCTATGCATTCAACTGACATGATACGTTTTTCCTTTTCTTCTTTTATGCAATTTTTGGTCTCGCCTTTTCATTTTGTTCTGGAATATTCGTCTAGAATGTATTATTTAATGATAGATAGGAGGATTGATCTGTAATTTCATGTTCTTCCCACCTTCCACTATTTTTTTTATGTTCCAGCTATATGTTTTGTACCGTATGCATTCCTTTAAATATACAATATTTATGACCAATCGACTTGAATTTCTTCAAAAAACATTTGTACTATATGTTGTCCTTTACATATCTTATCCAATGTCTTTCTGCAGAGGGTATTCCTTCTATTGGAATGTCACCATTTTCATGTGGCTGGTCAACTTGTCAAAGAAATGTTAGAACTCATTCAGATACTATTTGTCCATTTGTTGAATTTTTTTTTTCTACATATGTGGCAACGAGCAAGTAATCCTTCATGGATAGTTCTTCATGACGTCTCTTACTGAACGGTACTCTGTTTTCTCACAGTTATCCACAGCAGATATTTCGACAGTGGTTAAAGCTTTAGACACTGGATTCATACCTGTGAGTTTGAATCCCTCAATAGTAAACATGTTGAAAAACGTCAAATGAATATAACCAAAACTGCATATGCTCAACTCTCCTACCTGGTTGGCAAAATAGTGTAATTTCTCTCAGAGCTTTATGGTGGAGAGTTTAATGGCATCAATTCTTGGCTTGTTTTCTCGATTTTAGTGTACTCTCGTTGTTTGATTACGGTCTTGGTTTAGTGCTCTTGACCGGTGATGAAATCTGAAAGGGAGGCTGTTGTTAAAATTTCAGGTTCTGCATGGTGACGCCGTACTGGATAGTTCACAGGTTTGGCATTGCTGTATATGAATTATCAGAGAGTTTCCTAGTGTTGAGTGTCGATATGCTCCCTAATTCATTCAAATCTTCACCAGGGTTGCACTATATTAAGTGGAGATGTAATCATTCGTCATCTAGCTGAACAATTAAGACCCGATTACGTTGTTTTTCTGGTACACACTGTTGGCTGGTCTTTTTATTTCCGTTTTTATTACGTTGTTTGATAAATTAGTACAGAGGTAAACCTAACCCGACTGCAACACATTAACTTTCCTCCATTTATATCTTACGATATATACGTCTAAAAATGTAATGCACACGACATAATAACGATGTCAAAAATCTTAAAAAGTTATTTATATTGCACGCATGAAAGCATATTTGTTGCTCATAATAGACAGATGTTTTGGGCGTATATGACCGCCCACCAACAGAACCTGATGCGACGCTTCTTCAGGAAATTGGTGAGTTCTTATCACACAGTGTTGCAACTCATTCTAAATAGAATATACTTCTGAACGTTGGCTTCACTCGGTAAATACAGCCGTGAGTGAAGATGGGAGCTGGTCTGTGTTAAAACCTCAATTACAAGACGTGAGCAAGCAAGGTCAGTAAAAGATTATAACCCTCATTTTATCCATCATCCATGTGATTACCACTTGCTTTAGACCCCCGAGTTTTATCTTCCTCAAAAACATGCAACTGTGCAAAATATCCCGCATATTAACCAGATGGCTTGTAAGAACTTTAATATCCAACGGATATTTTGAAACAGTTGAGATAACTGTAGCAGCTCATGACACGACTGGTGGCATGGTCACCAAAATATCAGAAGCTGCGATGATTGCTAAATTGGGAATTGATGTCTACATAGTCAAGGTAAGTTTTTCTCTTTTTTTTTTTTTTGAAGCTCCTTCAAAACAAAAATACGTGTGTTGTGCTCATTTGTACCGCCATGTATGCAGGCAGCTACGGATCACTCGATGAGGGCTCTCAAGGGACAGCTGAGACAGAATATACCCGACGACTGGCTCGGAACAGTCATCCGCCTTGCCAAATAGAATATGCAATCGAACAACAATTGAAATTTACAATTTTCAGTTGCCTTGGACTAACTTCTGCCATTTACGTGTTTTTTGTAACGTACGGATTTATTGATGAATAACCCAACATATTAGTTCCATGTTACCGTTACTGTACTGATTTATCGAAGAATAACCCAACATATTAGTTCCATTTTACCGTTACCGTACTTATTTATTGAAGAATAACCTAACATATTAGTTCCGTTTTACCGTTACATATGAATTACAAAAGGCTATATTGCAAAAAGATCAAACAAATAATAAATCTAATCGGGAGGTGTCACCTTCGACACTTATGATAACTAGTATGAACAATGAAACTAGAATAAATTTATCCGAAAGTAAAGAAACCAACCAACACCATAAACAAAATAACAATTTACCAAAGTTGGCAGCATATCAATTTATCCCCACACCATAATAAACAAGATGAGATTCGAACATCTTTAGGAAACGGAACAAAGAAAAAAAAGAAGAGTAATTCAAAGAAAAGAAAAATACTTAAAACATAAATAGTAAAGCAAATTATCCCAGTAAAAGGAAGAGCGGTCTTCTTAATAGTCGAGGGCATAAAACCATCATTATCCCAGTCTCGAAAAACCGGAATAATACGATGGCAAATAGTCCCTCCCATCATTCACTAATCTATAAAATTCATGTCGTCTCATTTTAAATATAAAACCATCAATCGACTGATCCCACAAGTAGAAGGGAACCTCTACTTGGGACCAATATCCTTGAGGGCATTGATCTGTTCCTCTCCCATGGCAGACATAACACTCACAACAAGGTCCTTCCCCTCAGCAAACCCTTCCTTGATCTGTATATCTCACCAAAAAACAAAGATTTTATGAATATTATTTAATGTTTATTCGAATACGAAAATGAATATGTTGAAAAGTGAAATATCGCAGACCTGAGTAAGGAGAGCATCATCAGTTGGAAGCCTGAGGTCATCCTTAGTGCTACCATTATCAGTCAGCAAGCTCACCTACATATACATATCATCGAAAATTAACAATTATACGAGGAACGAAAATTGTAGTAGTTTTAAGTATTGAAGAAGATAGAGTAGCCACGTACGAATCCATCCTCAGAGATGTCGATAAGCTGGTAGTCAGTACGGTTAACATGTGGAACCTGAATCGAGACGAAAATATTTTTTAGTGTTAAATGCGATAAAGTAATGAAATAGCAACAAATATTATAGATAAACAAAGAGATATACATACATCACAATTGTGGGAAGAGGGGACAATATCTTCGAGCTTCTTGGAAGTGAAGATGTCGATTGCAACAAAGTGACATTTAGCATGACCGTGCTTTCCGGTCTTGGAAGTTGAAACTTCCACAACCTGAAACAATTAACAGGGATTGTTGTAAGCGAAAGACAGAGGAATAAACATAAACATTTGGAATAATAAAATTCATATTCTGTAACAATACAGAGTTCCAAAATAATCAATCGGGGATCAGCTCTTAGCAAAATCTGCTTGAACTTCAGACAATTAACCTTAACGAATCAAAACTAAATTATCGAAAATTGTTTAAAGCCCAAATATTTCCTAAAATCATTCACAAAATCACAGAATTTACATGGCTTGGAAGTAATCCTTCCATAAGGCACAATTAAACAAAACAGATAAATTAGAACAGTAGATCTATTCCATCACATAACAGGATCAAAATTCAGATATACCGTGGTATAAAAATCAATTCCAAAATAAATAAATAAAAAATCAGAAACAATCAACCACCAATCCAAATAATAAAAATATTGTTCATCCACAACAAATCGAAGCAAACGACGAACAATCAGGCTCATATCTACACGCATATATTGAAATCAAATCTAGAAATCTCATCGCCGATGAGTTCTACAGAAACCAAAAATTAAACAAGCTGAAATCGCATCTACTCCAAACAAAAAATCACCAAAAAAAAAAAAAAAAATCAGAGAGCAACAAACCTTGCAGGGGCGGCCTTTGATAACAATGTAACCGTTCTTGCGGATAGTTCCGGCCTGCTGGGGATAGGTCTTCGATGCGCCGGCGTCGGCCTTCGACTCGAAGTGATGCTCCTCGTCCGACATCCTAGGCGGCGATTCTAGAGAGAGAAACAAACGGATTTTTTTTTCCTTTAAATGTGGTGGCGAAGACCAAAGCTGAGTGCGGGAGAACTATCTATCACTGTGTTATTTTTTTTTGCATATATAGGGTTTGAGTTATCGAATCTATACGGGAGGGGTAGTTTGGGGTTTTCGCATCCAGTAGCGATTTTGGGCCGGTGATTGGCGTGGTGGGGCGGTTGACGGTTGCGATTTGCTTGCAAAGTTTGCGTCAAAACGACGCAGTGTTCTGTCTGAGGTGGGCTCTCTTTTTTTTTTTCTTTTTTTTTTTTTTTTTTTCTTTTCGTGTTTATCTACATATTTAATATTTAATTAATAGGACAATTTTAAAATTGCGAGAGGGGGACTAATCGAGTGCACGCGCCTTACCGTGGACTAACGTGGTGATTGACTCAACTCGAATCGGATTCAAAATCAACCTATGGAATGAATTTAAAGTGGATCCGTCTTGTAATAGATGGGATCCATTGCATCTTTAGTTCAACTTATTTGATTTAATATCTCAACTTATGAGTTGAATACTTAACTATTCCGAAATCGGAAGATTTCAGTGGAATTCAGAATTCGAAATTTTTCCAATTTTTTGTCAACTTAAATATAAAATACATAATAGTATTGGTATTTTTAATTGTAATATTAGAGAAAAAAATCAGAATTTTTAGAATTATTTCCAGAGCTTTAATCGGATCAGAAATTAGAATTTCGCATATATTCCAATTCCTCTCCAAATAATTTTGGAAAAATCTGAAGTCGGAATTTCGGAATTCAGATTGCAAATTATTGTTCCTAAATCAAAATTATGTATTGGAATCAACGAAAATCAGATATTTTGTTCCAATTTCCACCCCTAATTGTAGGTTAATAAGGTCAATTTTTTTTAAATAGATAAGTAGTTACCTACTAAATTTGTTATTTATTTACCCCTATGAAGCATGATTTATTTCTAATTGTAAACAAATATTTCTCATCTCATCATCTGATATCTAAAATTTTATAAGAAAATATAACACAATATTTCTCATTTGAAAATTCATGTGATCTAATATTACTGCTATTTGTTACAAAATATGACCATCAATTTCTACTATTCTAGTATACAAATCACAGAAAATCGAACTTCCAAAATACAGGAGTAGTTTACGACACATAGCTCCACATCTAAAAAAAAAAGAAAAAAGAGTCGAAAATATCAAATATATGGAGATGCTAATGGGTAGATATTTCTAAAGTTGATGCTGAAAATATTGCAGCATTAGCAAAGTGACCTTTTGTTGCTATTCGTCTCGTCGTTTACTCCATCCGATGCATAAATATTTGAGGCTGCTCTTCTCTGTCACACAAGAAAATAATGCTTGCTCAACTCAAATAAAGTGGAAGAATGCATATGCATGTATATATTTATTTGTGCCCGAGATTCGTTTATGCTGCCTAATACGAATTCCCCGTCTAAAGCTTACTTCAGCGCTTTAAGGGGTAATCGTGTAAGAGTAAATATTGCAGGTTTATAGCTCAGATGAAAATTCTAGAACTGGATTTATGAATGTACTACTCCAACTTGCTTGTTAAACCGAAAGACTGTTTTCAGACAATTTACTTTAACTATTTAGGAAGATATTACGAGTCCTAAGTCAACACATACAATATGAACTCAAGATAGCAGCATAATTCGGTCTTTAGAAAAGGAAAAAAAAAGCCCGAAGAACTGCCAAAAATAAGGATGGACTTGAAAAATGGTCTTTAGAAAATATCTATGTGTGCATTGTGCAATACCATCTAATGACCGATGTAAGAATTGTAACATTTGCAAGTAGATATAATAGGTAAACATAAAGTAATACACACCGGTAATCAACTAGAAAAAAATGAGGAAAATGAATTCGTAAGACCTAAAGAAACAAGATATCTGAAACGAGCGTAACAAACCTTTCATTAGCCTCCTGGTAAGTATAACTCGATGCAACAGCCAAAATCTGCCCCCCATGGTTATATGCCAACGATGCAATACTATTGGGATATCTAGGCAACTGAAAGTGAGGCGGGAAATATATGAGAACGTAGTTGTAACTAATCAATTTTATAGACAGTACCAAATTAAATAAATTAGTGTATGATAGAGATCTAAATGGTGTTTGGAGAAGTTAATAGTTTCAATGCTGAAAATCCAAATTAATCTAAAATCGTGGAGAATAGATCGTATGCACATGATGCAGTTAAATTTTCATTAGAGCATGTATAATTACTATTGGCACAGATGTAAATCTAACAAATCTCCATTCATTTGTCATTCTTATGACAACTGGTTGACGCGTATATCAAGCACATTTTTATCATGCAATTTCTCCAGAAGTGAAGAACTTAACTATACCTCCATTATACGTTTCCTATTAAGAACGTCCCATATTGCAGCATGGCCCTCATTGTCACCAGTAACGAGGACACCATGCAATCTGAAAAGGGGAAATATATATAGTTACGTGATTCTGTGGGCCCGTGATAGCAAAGTTAAAAGTGAAAGTGAAACACATACGATGGATTAAATGCAATGTCGTTCACTGCTACAAGATGATGTCTACCATTCTTGTTCTTTGGATGGCATCTGAAGGTGTATCTGCAAAAGTCCAAGATTTGAGTGAAATATATTTTCAATACACCAATATGTTTTGGATCTGAATTCTTATATACGGTATTTATTTTAGGATAAATATTTAATAATAAAAATCTCCATTTGTAGAAGAAAATTAAATCTAAAATTTGATCAGAGAGCATCAGTTGAACTAAAGTACAAGAGTAATTTGAGAATGAGTTCGCCCATAAACTTCATTATTTGCTATAGGGAATTCTGAGGGATGTCAGTTCCGGTAGCATTTGCATGTCGAAAAACTCGTAAATTAATTGCATTTGTCCCCTTTGGAAGATAAGATCGAGAATATCTTCTGGTGAGTGCATATTCTAATTTTAAAGATAGTACTTCCGATATAGTATAAAGTTAACCGAGGCTTATAAAACATGTGTTGCTAATATGCGTTCTAGTAAAAGAAAAGTCCTAAGGCATACCGATCAACAATACAAAAGTTGGGGATAATTTAAATTTTGTAACTTATACTGACCCCTCATTCTTCGAATTGGATTTGCTGAGATATTCCAAAGTAACCTGTCCATCAGTTGATCCGGCCACAAATCCTGCATAAATAGGCATCATCATTTATATGAATTCAGAGGTCAAAACGACAAAGAGGATGTTTAAGATACTTATAGACTTCAATTAAAATATGTCTAACAAGTCCAATAATGATAAATATATGTAAAGATAGCAAGTGCAATTTGGCAATGGCATCAATTACCAACAGTTCTGTTCCAAGAAAAAATCGGAACAATGTGGAAAACTAGTGACACGTAAACCTACTGTAATCAATTGTAAAAAGTTTAAACAGTTTTGTGAGATCTTTTGAGTTCTCAAACAGCTAAAGATCATTGCATCATTTTACTGAAGTGTAATTATAGCTGTTATCGCAATACCTTCTAAATTTAAATTTGAACGGACACATTTTATATGGTTGTCCATACAATGTTCTTTCGCCTGAACCGATCCATCTAAGTAGCGCAAATCATAAACATGCACTGATGACTTGAGAGCAACCGTCAAACTGAAACCAGAAAGTGACATAGATTCAACCTCCATGCCTAGATTACTCAAGCATCCCGAAGAACTAGCAGAGCGTGCATCTGAAAACTTTACTTTTCTATCCCAACCAGCAGTGATAATTTGACCTGCAGACAAGGGAAAAGTGTATTATGATTTCTTTGAAAAGAAAATATTGTAAACAGATAACACCACCTTGAATATGTTGATTTCACACAAAATTTCTATCTAATATAGTTTGTAAAAAGGAAAAAAAAACATTTGTCCGATTTTCACATCCAATCGTCATCTCCAACTTGCAAGAATTCAATTTATTTGAGTAAACAATAATGGAAATTATAGCCCTCGGTAACATTCATTAAATCCCAAATGCAGACGCTTAACTCATCTGCTGATTAAAATTTATCCTTCATAATTGGAAGTGTCATGGATTTAAACTCTCTTCAACCAAGAATCCCTAAAATTTTCAAAGACCATAAGAACGATCATGATAATATTTGAAGTTGGATGCACGTTTATGGAGAAAGGCCATATATTTGCTCAAGAGCCAGAAAGGCAGGAAGTGATCTGGCAAGGGCAGGAATTTTGATGCACAGTTCCTTCAGTAACTCAGACAAACAAGCGGCACTGCATCACGGTTTCTAGAAAAATATAAGTGAAATTACATGTTACTAATATCTTACATGTTTCCACAGAATATTCAACACAGGTTGCTAAATCGTCATGATTTCCTATTGCTTTGCTGTCTCCCGCACGCATATCATACCTATGAAGTTTCAAATCAAATGTGTCAGCAAATAGGATATTATCATTACAAGATGGAAACAAAGAAAGTGAACTGGCAAATACAAGAAAGATTGTCTCGGTGGCACAGAGTAGTAAAAAAAATAACGTTCAGATGCTTTGATAGTGATCCATCCATTATCCTCTCATTCGACAACGTGCGTGAATTGAGTATATTACCAACTTATGAAATCTTATTTGGCCTTGAATTGGTTAAAAATCAAACACAATAGGAATATTCTTCACATAACTAGTTCAGAGCATTAACAAATGTAAATATTTAAAATGTTGACTAAAATCTGAATTTAAAGCTATCTGCAACATTTCACTTTCCCTCAACATAAAAGACCAAAAACATTTCTAGCTCACTTACGGTGAGTATTCTATTTTTCTTCGTTACCTTTCAGAGGATCTACCTACTTTACTATGTTGCTGAAATATAACCGTTTACATACGTTTACCAATGCAACACCGTAATCCCTTCTCAAAATTGTAGAATAGCAAACATAGCAACCTTCAAAAGCGGGATCGACCTAAACAATAGGCAGCTTGAGCAGCTCCCACCTTACCGAAAAAAATAAAAGAAAAGGCCGTGCGTAGTCGTTTCTCAAAATAACCCGTTTCTTATAATTGATATAGTATGCTGTGTTCGTTATCCGAGTTTCTCTACCCCTCCACAAACTTGAAGCCCATGTACCATCCTTGTTGATAAGTTAATGCCAAGGCCAATTGATAAATAATAAACTATCTAGGGGATTAATGTGGTTTCATTGACGATTACTTAACGCAGAGGTTTCTGGAAAACAATTGAGCTAGCAAAGTAAAAAAAATGTTGAAAAATCTAACTACTTTAGGCACAAACAAAATTTAGGGCAAAGAATCAGTTGTTACAGAAAGCTGCAAACCTGAGAATAGAACCATCGGAATCAACACCGAGAGCCACCGACTCACTCTCGAAACAGCAATCGAGAAGCGCCGCCCCTTCGCTGGGAGCTTCTAATCGGAGCTCGCATTTGTCCACATCGTAAAGACGAAGACTCTGCTCGGAAATATGATATAATATGCCTCACTCTTAAATTCCAAAATTAGATCATATAATTACACATAATTACAGATAAAGCGGTGCGGAGGTAACGAGAGATTAGTAGAATAGATTTGCCATTAGAACCACTTACCGAATCCCATGAGGAAATTAAGAGATTGTTCGAATTCGGAGCAAATCGAACCCTGGAAATGGCGTCCCGAATCGGGTTATTGAAATTCAAACGAGACCCGTCCATTGTGGAAGGGAGTAACAATTTTTCTGGAAGGGAGAAAGGGACAGAGAGGAGAGAGAAATGGCGGCAAAATTCTGCAAGTGTATTTTGAATTTAGATTGCAGAGAGATTTGGGAGGAGGGCTGAATCCTGAATTCCTGATCGCTTTAGGCCCGTTTTTCAAAACAAGCAGGGCCAACGGGCCATAAATCGGGCTCATGGCCCAACTTTGCAATCAATTTTGGGCCTGAATTAGCTTCTCCCTATACGCATAATTAATGTAGCACTGACACGGAAACGGCGATACTGAGAAATGGTGAAGCGACGTGTTCCATGGGTTACGAGAACTTGGGGAAAATGTGTATATATTAGAAGTATAGGAGTATATTTATAAATATATTATTAAGCATATATAAATTTCCATACAAGTATATTTAAAATAAATATTATTATCAACTATCAGTTTGCAATTGATCACGTAAAAGCTACAAAAAATATTTGAAAGCTCGTTATTTAAACATGTTTTTAACTTTTCAGAAATTGTAAAAATAAGATGTCTGGCAAGTGTCCAGGAATGTCGGACACGTAAACGTTAAGAAGTTGAAGTTTTCATGTTACGTATTGCATAATTAATGGTTGATCGCGAAAATGTTTTGGGTAAAATTTTCATATCTAGGTCAAAAAATTATTTCTGATTTCCATCTGGTTTTAATTTTCGGAAAATTTCAACTTTTCTCGAAAATTTACATTTTCTTATATAAATACATAAGAAAAAAGGTACATAAACAAAATATTCGAAGTTGTTGGAGCTTAATTAGTATTCAATAAACTCTAATGATGCCTGCATATTCATCAAGCACACAGTATCTTCAATGTGTTATCTCAAATATAACATTAGAAGTATCATCCAATAACCAATTCTCAGACAACCTAAAAAAGTTTCCAAATATATACAGAATATATAATTCTGCTCCAGTGGTTTACATCACCCAAAGAACGAAAATACACCACCGTCGCACAAGCAGAACAAATAACAATTGAAAACATAACGAAATCGAACGAACAAAGATTCCCCCTCTTTAACTCCCAAAGCGCATCACCTCATTGGGCACATTTATTCACTAGGAACATAAAAGTCAAATTTCACGTCAACCGAACCAGAACTCTCTCCAGTGTCTTTGTACTCGATATTCGTGATCGCCCCAGTTTCATCGTCAAGTTGATATTCCGTTCTTACCCTCCGCACAGGCACAGTCACAGAATAAATAGTGCCTAAATCTGGATCAGTCGAGACACTCAACTGTACCTTATCCTGCGATTCAATCTCCACAAAATCGGACAGTGCACTGACAACATTGCTCACAATCTTCTGCTTTGCCTCTTCGCTGACAGCACATCGGTCGGAGAAGAGAATCATCCTCAAACGTTGTTTGGCAATGTTTGCGTTGGAGTTCCTTCTTGATGTGGGAGATGGGAATATTATCTTCCACGCAAGGCTTACGCGGTCGAAGAAGTTCATGTTAATTGCGTTGAGGAGAAAATTTTCGACTTCTTGGCTGATGGGGTTTTCCGAAACTTTGTAATCACCAAAAATTCCGATGGGCCGTTTGGAGTGACAACGGGTGCTATGAGGATCAAGAACTGTACGGGAGCATCTTGGTATTGACTCGAACACACTAGATGCACCGTTTGTGAACACGTTGCAATCCACCTGTATGCGATGAATGTACATGTCGGAAAAAGATTCAAACTTTATATCTCTAAAAAAAATTTATGCCAAAAAACTCATAATACAGTCAACATGAAGTATACGAAACTCAAAAGAAATGCCTTGTTGTTAGCTGAAATGTTAGTATGGACTAACACGACTGTCAAAAACTGATATCTGGTGAAGCTTACTTTCAGAAACATGCAATGGGTATCAATCTTTTGAGAGCTACAGAAGAGTTGATTGCAATTAGTACCCCCTGTGTTATATCGAATTGCTAAAAAACTACTCCATGTTATTTTATTAGCGAAACCCCCCCTTAAGATTTAATTTTAGTTAGCAATTAGTACACCTGTTTAGGGGGTTGTGTGCTACAAAAAGGTGTTGAATCATAGGGGTGGTTTTACCAATAAAATAATATGGGGTAGTCTTTAGCAATTTGATATAACACGAGGGTACTAATTGCAATAAACCCAGCTACAGAAGTATGAGATAAAGTTTCCACAATAGCCATTGAAGTGATACGAAAATAGAGCTTATGTAAAATTCCAATTTTCCAACTAGCGAATGTTCATGGCTTATGTAAATAAATGTAATCTTGTCTCGAGCCAGTGATCAATTAAACTGTTTCGCATATAAAGTAATAAAAGGAATAACATCGATTTAGGCCATTTCTCAATGCCGAGACAATATTTTGGTTAATACAAGCTAAAAATCTGCGACACATAATATTTCAGCTAAACGACGACATGGTAAACCCGAGCGAAATTATATAAACTGTATATATCACATGAAGCTTTAATCGATTAATAAACGAGCATAATTTAGAAGCCACTTCATCGATCAACCTGGAAAGGAATCATCAAGTGGAACTACCAACAAAGAAGGAAATTAACACATCCTAATTAAGTTGCTTCATGTATGACAGTATGTGCAACAGCAAGAACACGGTAATTTCTCGCGTAGAAAAATAAATAAACGTAATCGCCGAATCATCATTGTAAAGCTTATACCCAACATTCAAGAATATAATGTAGCCCTTCATCCATATTCACAAATAATTTTGACATATATAATTAAATGCTGAAAAATAGAGATAAATCTCCAGAACAACAGTATTGAAAACGAACCCAGCTCAGAATAACAAAAACGGAAAAGCTAGAGAGAGAAACATCTAACGGTAATAGGCGCTGAAAAATGGAGAATGAGTTGAACAAACCTTGGAAGGGGGGAAATGCGATCTTGTGCGAAGGGGGTTGAATTTGTACGAACTCAGAGCTGCGGAAACCCTAAGATCTCCTGAAATCGCCATTGTCGAATCAATTTGTAGCTTCCGGGGAGATTATTGCTGGATTCGCTCTCTAATTCACTAGGGTTTCTCTTAACTGAATTTCGACATTCAATAGTGGGACTGTGGACACTGTGTTGCGTGTATTACATATACGACGTCGTTTTCCAATACTGAAGGAATAAAGAGGAATTGTATACTTTTTTTTTTTTCTTTACAAATTCAATTAGATTTAAACTTCTATCAATTAATTTAGTGGGAGCTTGGAAAATTTTATTAACTTAGCAAAATATTAAATTATCTAATTAATATTTCAGTACGTTTTTTTAATCAGAATCGTAAGAAATTATTATTTAAACAATGTTATTAATTTATCGAGTATTAATTTTATGTACGGAGGTTCTACTCATTATTAAGTGGTTCATTTACATATGAATTGTTAATCAAGGCAAGTAATTTAGGAATTTTTTTTATTTTTTTAGGATTATTTGTGTAGATATTAATGCAAAGTAAAAGAACAGGTGAAATAAATTCCAAAAAGAAAAGGTGAAATTATTTATTAGAAAAAAAAAATATACAACTTTTTGGGGTTGAAATGATAAAACTATAAAATTCGAAGGGCTGAAATACAATTACCGTAACTCAAAATAAAACCTTAAAGCATGCATCAGCATTTCATCGAACACATGGTAGCCAATGCCGAATAGGTATCCCCAATTGAAAAACCAGTCGTCGTCTACATCATCGAACAACAACTATAATTACAATCAACCAGAGAAACAGAGCACCATAGAAATGGCGGTAGTACTACACTGAAGAACAGAGAAAAAAAACACAAGAAATCAGACGAATTTTGCGAACTTCACCCCAGTGAATGGGGAGATGGAGAGCTTCCCTCATAGTCGCCCGCATCGTATCAGCATCCAAATCCATCAATAACCTCAATATTAACCATAACCCACCTCTTAGATCTCCGTATTCTCTGTTAATTTCGGAGCGCAGAAATTATTTCTTGAATTTCAGGTCATTTTCTGCACTCCCATCCGTATTTCCTCGCGATGCCGAAGAATTTGATTACAGCACCCATGATTTTAATCGGAACGGGGTGTTGGAGGAGCCGTGTTTGGAAAACGAGGAGGCTGGAAAAATCCCAGTGAAAGCTTTTTTCCTCTGTACCAGGTTCATCTACTGTTTCATATAGCTTCTGCTTTTTTTTTCTTTTTCGAATAAGAATAAAAAATATTGTAGGACCGTGGGCTTATGTAAATTGTGGTTGGGAAGAGTTAATTGTGCAATTTAATGTGAGATTGCTGAGTGTTATGGCTGTGATGTCTTGATAATTGACTGAGTGTTGCATCGGTTTTTCTTTCTTGAGTTTTTGTTCTGTTGTGGAATTCATTCGATTTCACCTGCACACGCCACTTACCATTTCCCCATTCGTGTCGGTTTTGCATCTCGATTTTTCTGTTCTCTCAGATTCATGGTTTTGGCAGTGTGGATTTGAAGAGTATGCAAGCTGAGAATTCAAGATATGTTATCCCTCAAACATCGCGCTCGTCGAATAGTATTGCTCTCAGATTTCGCCGCCCTCCCTGGCAAACTGTAAGACCTGTTCACACACACACACACACACACACACACACACACATATATATATATATATATATATATATATATATATATATATATATATATATATATATATATATATATATATCAATGCTCGCTTGCTTAAGTAAATTTGGATGAGTTGCAATCCATGTCTTTCTCCATGCTTTACTTCTTTCCTCGTTCAACATTAGTTCAAAGCTTCATGATATCTAATATTTTGTTTTTCAAGAATATAGTCGGGTTTGACAGCTCAATTACTTTGATTCGATTATGCAAGGAAAAAAATGGCACATTGCAGTTTGTTCTTCACCTCATAAAAAAAATAGGAGGTCGATTAGTTGTTACGGCTGAACTTTAGTATTGACACATCACAGATATAACTATTTGGCCCTAGACGACTTGGATTCTTTGGTTAACAAAAACAGAATCACTTTGTCGAGTTACAGCCTTGGGAGAAAGGTTATCTACATTTACTATGTATTACTGGATTTCATATTGGCTTCTAATCAACCACACGAACATTGTCTTTGCGTAATGCGTCAATTCTTGATTGTATCCTTGTCCAATAAAAAAAAAATTGGAATGTTTGCTTGTTTAGCAAGATATCTTTTGACATTCCACGAAGCAGCTAACTCTAACCTGTCTTTAAGCAATAGCATTTATTTCATTAATCAAGTATGTTGAATACGAGTACTAGTGTTTGGCAGTTAAAAACTTCACCTTCCATTTGAGGAACAAAAGTCGCATTTCATATTCTATTTGCTTTGCCTTATCAAAGTAAGATTGGTTGCAATTAATCAACACCGTAATTGTTTTTGTTTTATCTAAAAAGAATTCCTCGCTTCAAAATTTGATGCCAGGGAGTTGAAGTTATAGAGAATACGAGCTGCTATCAGTACATGGTTGTGTACCAGTACGGTTCCGCTGTCCTTTTCAACGTGGAAGATCACGAAGTTGATCTCTATTTGCAAGCTGTTCGACAACATGCTACTGGATTGCTTACGGAGATGAGAAAAGATGGTAAGGGGATCTTTTTTAAGTATCTATATTTGTTATCTACATGAATCTTTATATTAATTTTCAAAAAATAAAACAAAAATTGAATCTTTATATTCCTTTGGGTAAATATTTTGTGTCTGCCAGACATTGAACTAAATCAACCTTTTATGTACGAAACAATATATATGATGTTATTGGGTTGACTACTGAAAATATTATATCTATACAACAGAGACGGTTCGTATGCATAGAAAAATGCCATTCCATTCGTTCTTAATAAACCAGTTTGATCCAGTTTGGTTTAGAAAATTTTAATGATTACACAGTGAGGAAACTATTTACTGAGTTCAAAACCAAATTGAGGGTTTGTATAAGGCTAAAGGAAAAAAAAAACACACGAAGAAACTAAACCTGAATATTAGTTCAATTATTAAAAGTCCAGTATTTCTGGTATTCCGATTAGGCTATCCAGATTTATGTATCAGCTGCTGAAATAAATTCAATTTTCTCGATTTTTTTTTTATTCACATTCTACAGTATGCCATTTTTATACAAGTTCATTTTGGTTGTTGCATCAGATTATGCTATAAAAGAGAAGCCTTTGTTGGTCGAGGATATGCAGGGAGGTCCGGATTACATTGTTCTGAAGAATCTAGACACCGACAGTATCCGGATAATCGGTAGTGTTCTTGGACAAAGCATTGCTTTGGATTATTTCGTATCCCAGGTGAATAGTTAGATAACGTCACAGCATTTCCACTTTTTCTGCATTTTATAATTTAGGGTAAATTACAACCACCCCTGAGGGATGATCAAATTACGAAAAACCCCCTCCTATTTGGGTAATTACATCCACCCCTCAACTATAAATCTTCTTACACGTCCACCCTTGCGGTTTCAAATTTAGTGAAATCTTCTATATTATATGGAATATTCTCAATTTTGGACTCGTTTTATCCCAATCGAGCTCCACATTTTGAAGCTAGATGATCATAAAATGTGTTTTTTGGCTTGTATTAACCAATTATGGGGCATGAGAAACTATATTTTTGCACAAAACGAGTACAAACAAGAGAACATTCCATGAAATCTAGATGATTATTTTGAATTTGACACCATAAGGGTGGAGATGTAAGAAGATTCATAGTTGAAGGGGGTGGATGTAATTACCCAAACAGGAGGAGGGTTTTCGTAATTTGATCATACCTCAGGGGTGGTTGTAATTTACCCTATAATTTATAATTGTACATTTTATAATCTCTCTCTCTCTCACACACAGGTTGATGGTATGGTTGAAGAATTTGCAGGTATAAATCGGGGAATGGAGAAAACAGGAACTTTCACAATGAACCGGAAAAAGCTGTTTCAGCTTGTCGGGAAGGCTAACTCAAATATAGCTGATGTTATTCTTAAAGTCGGTCTTTTCGAGAGGTAATTTACAATCTAATATTCGACTTTGGTCACATGCTCTTCGTGTATATAAAGATTTCATTTATAATTTCTTGAGCTTTCGACTTTCGAGTGAAATGCATGTCATCATTATATTGTGCACTACTTTAGATCGGAAATTGCGTGGAGAGATGCAAAGTACGCACAAATTCTTGACTACCTTCGCGAGGAATATGAGATCACACAGAGATTTGGAAACCTCAATTTTAAGTTAAAATTCGTGGAGGTACGTACACTCGTTCATTTCAATTTTTTTTTTTTTTAATAATTAGTTTGTTATTATAGTTGTTAGGGGGTATTATTACTGAGAGATGAGACTATTTATTTATTTGGCTGCAGCACAATATCCATTTTCTTCAAGAAGTACTTCAAAATCGGAAATCGGATTTGCTGGAGTGGGTCATCATAGTGTTGTTGAGCATAGAAAACGTGATCTCGTTGTGCGAGATTGTTCGGGACTCTATAGGAACTTCGGTATGAAGATTGAAGACAGAATACACACAAATTCTTTTTTCTTAATTATTTATTTAGCTTAGGTTTACTATCTTATTGAGAGAACAAATTCATTATGTTAAAAAAAAACACCAAATTTCCTTAATTAAAGCAATGCATTTTTCTTTTTTGTTAACAATTGATCTTTGATGTGGATTTTGATTGAGCTACGTCAAAGAATGTGAATTACATTTTGAAATGTGTGTGTTTTTATATGGTTTCTATTGTTTTTAGGGTACCTTACGGTTGTCCCCTGAGGGAAGGTCAAATTACGAAAAACTTCTTCTTGTTTGGGTAATTACAATCACCCCTTAATTATGATCCTTCTCGAGGTGTTAAATTTAGTGAAGTCTTCTAGATTATGTGAAATATTTTTCAGTTTGTACCCGTTTTACCCCATGTGAGCTCCACATTTTGGAACAAGATGATCATAAGATGTGTCTCTTAGCTTGTAAATATTAGATTGTGGTGCATCAGAAACTGTATTTTTGCATAAAACGAGTACAAACTGGAGAGCATTCCATAGAATCTAGAACATTATATTGAATTCACCGCAAGGGTGAACGTGTAAGAAGATTCATAGTTGAAGGGGTGATTGTAATTACTCAAATATGATGGGGTTTTTGTAATTTAACCTTACATCAGGGGTGTCCGTAATTTAACTTTTTTTTTTTTTTTTTTAATTATTGTGCTTCATTTTGAATTGATGTATGTGAATTTTTCCAGATTAAAACATGTCTATACAGTAACCAAATCTGCAGCCAAACAAAAAAAAATTATAGAAAAATTATATTATTGGCTCTCATCTCATTGAGTAATCTTGGATTAAAAACAAATCCAACCTATCAAGAACTAAACCAATACATCAAACTCCTAACATACCAAAACAAAAGTACACTAAACTAGATTCATTGTTCAGACAAGAGACGACGAACGAGACTACCAACAGCCAAAATTTTCGACATAGCAATGTCCTACTAATGTCTGAAAAAAAAACGAGACATCAAAATTCTTCGACTCTCACAGCTGCGGGAGTTACAACATAAGCATCTACCGGCCTCGATTTTTTAACACCGGCTGTGAAAGAAACTTTTTCCGACTTGTTGCCCTCGACAGCCACGTTTGTTACCTTGACCCAGACTAAGACCTTCGTTTTCATGCCTTCTATGCCCATTAGCTTACCCCTTAGTAGAATGCATTTGACACGAGTGGCGTATCTTATTACGGACGAGTCTTTGAAGCTCACTTCACATGCAAAGGGCAAGTGGACTACTAGCTTCGACTTCGTCTCGTCGAACTCGTATCCCGTTATATTCTGAGGGAAAATGCCAGCTGGCAGATTGTGTTGTCGCAGGAGATCAGACAAGCTTCTTGGAGGCTGTCCTGTTTAGGAAAACACAAAAATAAAAATTAAGTATTTCGTCTCAAAGTTTTTAGTAACATTTGCTGAATGCTATGGAAATTGGAACGAAATTTTTCGATTTTTCCATTTTTTTTTAATGGAATTGGAATACATTATAGATTCAGACCTCCAATCCGATTTAATTTCCGAAAATTACATTTATAATATGAATATTATTACGTAATTCATAATTTCATATTATAGGTGACTGAAAATTTGGAAATTCCAAATTCCGCTGATTCCGGTCCGAAATTTTCGGTTTAGGAACAATTTTTTTTTCCGAATCTCAAAATAAAAAAATTCCGATTTTTCTGATTTTTTTTATGGAATTTGAATTAGTTATTCACATCCCAAAAGTCCGAAAGTGCTAATTCCGATCCAATCCGTTCCGTTCGATTTTCACCCCCGAGCAGTAAAATTTTAATTTTAAATACGCATATAAAGATTGTACAAAAAATAGGAGATGATAAAAAACAAATAAAAGCAATTACAGACCTTTAAGCTTGTTGAATATCCATTTAGCCTTCTCCTCAACAACGTTAGAAACAGTCTGCAATTAACAACAGGCACAAACAAATTTCAACCGTCAAAGTTAACGGAGGGTGAAACCAGAAAATAAAAAATGTGGGATCTTTCTAAAATAATTAATTTTTTTTTTTTTTTAATTTAAAAAAAATGTGGTAAGAATAAGAGTAGATACAGTTAGGTCTTGAGTAATGTTGTTCAGCTCTTCCTTAGCTTTCTTCGACAGCCAAAAGCTTCCAGCTTTTAAGCTCCCCATTTTCACAAGTGCTTTCTCCATTCTCTCTCTCTCTCTCTCTCTTTTTGAGAAGTTATTTTGCAGAGAAATCTTCAGCCCTAGTCACGATTCCCGATAATGGGTTGTGGAATTTCTGTTCATTTCGGTGGAAAGTTGGAATACTCGAACCCGATTCTATGCACCCTTTTTCATATAAATATATGCATTTTCAAATGTTTTTCAATTTGCCCATTTTTCTTAGGTAAGAAATCTGAAGCCACAGATTTTCTAGGTTTATTTGGTGCTATACATGAAATATATTTGGTGATTATTAAATTAATCTCTATCGATACGCCTATTTATGTGTGCTTAGTAGAAAATTATTTTACCATATTAACGATTAAATTTTATTGGGTGTATTTTATCGAGTGTAACATCTCGATGACCGAAATTATTTCATCTTGTGACATTAGGTGGAAATTGGAATTGAACTTCTGAATTTCATCAATTCCGACTTTTTTTTGGAACAAAATCGGATTTGTATATAAAATTACCGAAAATTCCATTTTTATGTCAGATAAGGTTCCTTTCAAAATACATGATTTAATTTTATGATATACTTGTAACTATATAATATAGCTTATGTTATATTTTATATGACAAATACAAATACCGATGGACCATAAATTAAAACCTTAGAAAAAATTAATTATCCTAAGAAACTTTCTTTTGTTTTTTTTCCTTATCAGGAAATCTTTGTATCAATTTGTTGTTCATAAATTTCGTTTTATTTATTGCATTTTGTCGAACTCTCTTTTGGATGTTCTTGCATTTTCCTGTAAAAAAATCAAAATTATCGTTAAAATTCACATCCGAATTTAGAACAAGAGATCATAAATTGATGTAACTTCCGAAATTCCGTCGATTCCCACATCGGAATGAATTTTTGCATTTCAATTTTTTTTGTAATGGAAATTAAAACCCATTTTTCACTACCGGAGAGAATTGAATTTTTTTCATAAAAGCCATTTCCGATCAATTCCGTTCAATTTCCACCCGTACCTGATATGGATCATTATTTTTTAATTATGAAGCAAAATTGAAAATTGTTGCAGTAAAATTGGAATGATATTTAACACACTCCCTAAACAAATAGCAGATGGGCTCAGCCCATTCGTAATAAAATGGACTCGGGCCATTTGAGTTGGAACCGCCGGGTCAACTCGAACGTTCAATGTCTCCCTTCATTGCCACGACAAAAATGGTGACTGTAGTCTAGAAACATAATTAATCAGCTATTACCCAATCACGCATTGCCACGTAATCTCCAACACCTCACCCACCCACCCCAACCCCACCCACCGGTAAATATTAATCCCTCCCTAATTTTCAACAGAAGACATTTTCATTTTCTCTCGTCGAGGAAATTTCTGCAGGTTCTTCTCTCCGTACAATTCAACAGTAAGCAGCAGCCTTTGATTTTTCTTTTCAATTTGTCTCGACGTTAGTTTTATCTGAAATTTCTTGTCACTTTTGGGGATGCCGGGATTCTGATCATGCCATTGGTAGATAAATTCATCCGAGTTTAAAATTTCAGGGTGATTTTATTCTATTTATTCAAATTTTAGGGTTCTGTCGGATGCAACATGATTTTTTCCTTTTTTTTTTTTAATGTTTGTTGGAGAATTCGCCTAATTTTGTTTTTTCTGATTTTTCACTTACTTGGAAAATGGGCATTTATACGTTTCCTGGTATATATTGGTATTGAATTGACGTTGCGATTCATTGCGATCGTATCGTAAAATATGTTTCGGCTCGAAATTCGAATAGGAAATGTTGGTAGGTTGAGTTGAACAATGTGTAATTAGTTGTTTTACGTCGTGTTGCTTGCATATAGTAGCATACACTCGATATCAGAAGATGTTCATTTTGTGATTAACGATTGTAAAATTTGTTTAGCTTGAAATTCGAATGGGAAATGTTGGTAGGTTGAGTTGAACAATGTGTAATTAGTTGTTTTACGCCGTGTTGCTTGCATATAGTAGCCTACACTCGATATCAAAAGATGTTCATTTTGTGATTAATGATTATGTGTCGAGACGAAAGGGGTACATTTTAGAATCTCGTTGTACACATGTTCATCGAAAGATGTTTTAGTATGATGAGACGATGCCAGCTAGTATGAACGCTCGTCGGTAGTTTATTTATATGGAATTTCTTAATAACAATTAATCGGACCCGTAGAAAGAAATTTCATAAATAGTTTCCTCTTATTAATATTTCGAAAGAATCTTATGAAAAAGGTAGTAGTATAGATCAATTTGTGGAATTTACCTTTTTGGTGATAGTAGTAGAACGGTCGGTTATACTTCAATATACAGTCGGTTAATTAATCGAATTCTATCAATAAACAGGGAACAAGTGACATATGATGAAGTTGCAAACGTACGCTGGGTTTAGTTTAATTGCCACAACCGCTGTTATTTACCATGCCTTCAATAGTAGACGTCAGTTTTACCCAGCAATGGTTTACTTGTCGACTTCAAAAATCAGTTTGGTGCTGCTCTTGAACATGGGCCTGATACTCATGTGCTTTATGTGGCAATTGGCGAAGAAAATCTTCCTCGGCTCACTCAGAGAAGCGGAAGTCGAAAGGCTGAACGAGCACTCATGGAGAGAAGTCATGGAAATACTCTTTGCAATCACTATTTTCAGACAAGATTTTTCGGTTGCGTTTCTTGCCATGATTACTGCTCTACTTCTGATCAAGGCTTTGCATTGGTTGGCACAAAAGAGGATCGAATATATCGAAACAACTCCATCTGTTTCGAAGCTTTCTCATATTCGGATTGTTTCGTTCATGGGGTTCCTCCTTGTTATTGACTGTGTTTTTCTGCACAGTTCTATCAAGCACTTGGTAGAAACCAGACAGGCTTCGGTTTCGCTCTTCTTTTCGTTCGAGTAAGTTATTTTATTTATTTATTATATATTCGTAATGCAATTCATTTATAAGAAATTAATGTTTTATAAAACATCGTTATCTTTCAGATACATGGTACTGGCCTTGACGACTGTATCAACCTTTGTGAAGTATATATTCCATGTCAGAGACATGTTTATGGAAGGACAGTGGGAAAAGAAAGCCGTGTACACGTTTTACTTGGAGCTTATCAGAGACTTGCTCCACTTGACTTTGTGCATGTGTTTCTTCCTCATCATTTTTTTGTAAGAAATCTTTCCGCCCTTTTTTTTTGCCGCATTAGTTAAGGTATGTAAATTATAAACTGTTTTCTTTTTCATTATACTATCTGAATACCAAATTGTATCGATTTTGATAGGAACTACGGCGTGCCTCTTCATTTGATCCGAGAGCTTTACGAGACGTTCCGTAACTTCAGAATCCGTGTGGCTGATTACATACGCTACCACAAAATCACTTCAAATATGAACGATCGTTTCCCAGATGCAACTCCCGAAGAGCTTGACGTGTAAGCAAACATCACTCTTCAGAAACTTCTTTTTATTTACGGTTCGACCGATAACTCTTGATTCACATCTGTATATTGTTTCTGTCTCTGCAGAAGTGATGCCACCTGCATTATATGTCGCGAGGAGATGACAGTTGCTAAGAAACTCGTCTGCGGGCATCTTTTCCATGTCCACTGCCTCAGATCATGGTTAGAGAGACAAAATACATGCCCTACTTGCAGAGCCCTCGTTATACCGCTTGATAACGGGGTTTCTACTTCTGCTTCAAGGGCTGATGGCCATCATCAAGGTAGGACTTTCTGTTTGTGAGTAGTGACTCTCTCTCTCTCTCTCTCTCTCTCTCTCTCTCTCTCACGTGGTTAGTGGGACAGGAACTAGCACAAATGGTGCATCTTCTCAAGGATCGAGTGCTGACCGGGTGCAAAATGATAATGTGGTGAGTCAGCATCAGGCTAGACTACAAGCTGCTGCTTCTGCTGCATCGCTGTACGAGAAATCTTTCGTTTATCCATCTCCAAATGCTCTAACGTGGTATGTATCCACATTCTTTACTTTTCTACCGTACTTGTGCGCATCGTCTTCTTTACTTCACAATGTTAATCATGACGACATTTTCCTACACTTAATTCTTAGTGGATTACCTCAACAATATGCAAACACATCTTTCGCCTGGTCAGCACAGTGTACATCTGTTCCTCCACAGTTCCCGTGTATGCATGGAGAACTTGAGTCGGGATCAAACTCTCAACTGGCTTTACACAATAAACTAATTAAGCACCAGATTGAGGTTACTTCTCTTCGACTAATTCTTCCAAGAACTTCAGATTTTAGTTTCTTTTTTTTCTCGAATACCTGCTGATACAAATATACCCCTGGTTTTTTTTTTGAGCAGTTTATGCAAAATCAATTGCAGCTTTTACGGAAATCGAAAGGAGAGAAAACAGTGGATCAAGTGTCATCTGATATCAAGGGTAAGTCCGTACCATCTTCATCTTCATCGGTAATCGACTCTTAGTGATAATTTTTAGCATCTATCTAAGAGCTACAGCTGAGAGAGAGAGAGAGTGCTTTAAGTTTTGCATTTTTTCGTCCCAACGAGTATAATATGAATCAGTACTTAGTTCGGAAAATCCGATGTAATTTTCTGTAAATTAGCACAAGAAATGTTTACGTAAGCCATGCTCGAGAGCGACGAACATGGAGAAATGTTATATAAGTTGATAGGATAGGTTTTCACAGTTAATCTTTGACAATTAGATGAGATTCAAATTTTAATTAATCAATGAATTACTTAATGGGCCTTTAGAAAATTTTCTTTCTTAATTTGGGCTTTTATTGTTTAGAGTTTTAATGAATTGGTCAAATTAATGGGCTCGGCCCATTATGAATAAGATTCAATTGGCACTTCTATTTTGAAATGATTTCAATTTCCGATCTGATTAAGTTCCAAAAGTTCCGATATTTTTTTTTTCGAATATTGCGCTTAAAATACCAATATTATTATTTACGTGAGAAAAAATTGGAAATTTCCGAATCCCATCGATTCCGGTCCGAAGTTTTTTGATTTTGGAACATGTTCATTCGTTTCAATTTCCATTTTTTTTTATTTTTTTGAAACAATATATCTAATTTTTCACTTCCGAAACAAATTGAAATTTTCCCGAAATGACTAATTCCGATCCGATCTGTCTCATTTATACACCTAAACAACAACAACAACGTTAAAAAAAGAGAACAGTCTGGCTTTATCGGTGAAGCAGATAGCTGGGTGGCTATTTAGATATGGATAGGGAAAAAAAAAGGTGGGCACATTCGAGGGGTAATTTCGTCCAAATAAAGTAGGAGAGATTCTTGGGCAACCTCAGCCGCCAGATTCGCTTCGGAGAAACCCGAGATTCGTGGATGATATATATCCACCTCGGGATCCACGAGTTGCTAGATTTTCTTTTAACACTAATTAGGTTTTTTCTCCTTTTATTTTATTAATTTGTTTATTCAAATAAGAATAAACAATTAAATATATCTAACTATTATATATATTTTCCCTAAAAAAATTTAAAAAGAATAAACACATCTAATATCGACTCATTGGAATTGGGTCAATTGAAATTGTACCGATTCAATTAATGACCAAATAATAGGTTCAAATTGTACGATTGATGTCTCGCAAAAGATAACCTAACGGTTTGAGCAAGTGAACATGTGTCAATTGATACAGGTTCGAATCATCTAGTATGCTTATAATAGGCTGTTTATTTACAAATTATTCTAATTTAATACAATACTAATTCTTTATTCAGTGAAAAAAAAATACAAGTCACAAGTCTCTTATTTCATAATTATTGTTTTAGGTGGTGTTTGCAAATGCTTTTTGAAAGTGATTATGCGGTTTTTTTTCTTCTCATAATCTGTTTTAAGGTGTTTGCAAAATCAACTTTTACTTTTGCTTCTCTTAAAATAATCTGCTTTAAGCTATTTTTTTAAAAGCACCCATAACCCTGCTTTTTCAGTTTTAGTTCATTTTCCAAAATATTTGCAAACACCCCCAACTTTTAGAAATAAGCACTTAAAACTAACTTAAATCATAATCACTAACTTCTACTTGTAAATAATCATTTGCAAACACCACCTTAATTAAAATAAAAATAAAAATAACAAATGTGGTGTATGAATAAAGACATTTTCTAGGAAATTGCAAAAATATATATGAGCCCAAAAATGAGCTGATTTGTCCCTATAATGTGTGACTTTTCTTGTACAACATGACAAAACAATCTATATATATATATATATATATATATATATATATATATATATATATATATATATATATATATATATATATATATATATATATATATATATATATATTCCAAATCTATAATTAACGGTAGATAAATTGAGCTTATCACACATGATCAGTCTAGTGTTGTCCGCGTCTCTCGTATTATTTGCAAGTTAATATACGAGCATGTAGGTTTACTTAGTGTAGCTATATGATTGACTGCGAGTTTTTTCAGTAAAATCTATTACTAATGTCCTTTTCTCCCATTTCCATTTTTTTTTTTTAAATTGAAAATTTGATTTTTTTTTGGCACATAATCACTAGTTTTATTACAATTAAAATATACTTTTAAAAATCAGATTTAGAATATTAGTTATATTTAATTTAGAAGGGCCCCACATCATCAAGTTTAGAAGAAAGCTTGACACATATTTCCATGAAAATGACTAGAGAGATAGTGGGCACGCCCCCATGCAGCTGGTCCACGCCGATCACATTCACAAGAATATAAACAATTTAATTAATTAATTTCACAAAAAATCTTAAATTAATTAATTAATTAATTAAAAAAACTTAATATATTGATTGACTGGCTACCTAATCACCCGGTCAAGGTTTAAGATTTGGGAGTTTTGATTAGTTTTATGATGGAGATAGATAGATGCAAACATATCCATGAAATTGAAATGTATGACCAAAGTGAGTAGGTGCAATCACTGTCAACACACATTATATGTGTGACATCCCACCTATTTTTTTTCCTCAATTTATTAGTGCATTTTAAACTTAAATCATATATTATAATTAAAACTAATTAAATGTATTATTAGCCTGTGATTAAATTTACATATTGTTTACCATGTAATGTAATATGGGAATTTTTTTCATGCCTGAAATTTATAATTATATATTATTTTCTTGTATCTTGTAATATTTCTTGTTAGAGGTTCGAATGCATCGATCGGACTAGATAATTGTATCATTTGGGTCAGATGCACAATTTTTGTATTTTTATATTTTCTTTTATCATTTGTTCTGCTTAATTCAGTAATTAAATCAGATGTAATTGATATATTTTTTTTACGTGTTTTGGATTATGCCGTATTAGAGCAACTCCAATGGAGGCATTAAATGATGTATCAAACTAAAAAACTACCACTTTGATGCTCTAAAATAAAAAAATCCTCCTCCAATGGAGGCATTAAATGGAGAATTATTTTGATACTCAACCACCCGGAGGTGCAAAAATAATCCCTGGAAAATAAGGTATCAAAAATATAACCACCCAATTAACCTATCACTATTTGACACGTGGCATTTAAAAATATAATTATTCATATATTTAAAATTTGATAATCTATTTGATACTTGTGGTTGGAGTGAATTTTTTTTCAAGAAGTATCAAAGTATTATATCAAGTATCAAATGAATATTTAATGCTCCATTTTGATATCTCCCATTGGAGTTGTTCTTATATATCTAACTATTTTCTGTAACTTGAAATCACTTTGGTGAATGTTGAAGGAAACCTAAAAGTAAATAGAAAATTCCTTAAATTATTCCACAAAAAAGGGGGGATGGTTTTTGGAATAATAATTTGAATAAATATTGTGCAATTTAAAGACAAAGCAGTTTTCTCCTCTTTAGTGCATGAATGATATGTTGTCTGAATAAAGGTGCAAAAGGATGAAAATATACACTGTTGAACCACACTTTTGCTCATTTACATGTGCATCTACTTATTACCTCATGTTGCTCTAGACTAGGTCTAGCTATCAACATGACAAAATCCTAGGGGTACCGGAAATCGGAACATAATTTCCGAATTCCGCCGATTCCAAACCGAAAATATCCGATTTCTGAACCCTTTTTTTTCAGACTTCTGATTTTTCCGAATTCTTCTGGAACATAATTGGTATTGTATATAAAATTATCGAAAATTCCATTTTCTGATCCGATTTTAATTTCGAATAATTCAATATATAACATTATTTAATATAATTTAATTTGAAGGGGGTCTCTCACTTTAATGAAGGTGTATATGATACTTAAATAACAATCAATGAGGTTAGGCCATGCTAATATATATGCCTATAAATGCCTTATTCTATGTCTCTGATTCTTGGGGGTTTTTATGTAGGCTTTTGAATGCTTACATTATGTCACATACATAATTGTACAATACCACGTGCAAATATTGATTGTTCGGGATTTACGTCAAATTTATTTGAGTCGAGCTTATTTAGTGTTAATTTCGATCGAAATTGAGTTGTTTTTATCGAACTCATAAAGTTTATGAAT